TAGGCTTCCTCTGGGGGTGGGTGTGGGGGGTGGGGGGTAGCTTCTCACTTTCCCTCTCCCTCTCTGGCAAATGCATGTGCCCTATAGCAAACAATAACAACAACAACAAAAACGGGGGGAGGGGGAGGAAAATAATAAATGCTTGACTATTTTGTGAAAGAGTGAAGATGTATTAATCTAGTAGATCTTCCTCTCTTTTTGGAGGGACTACAAATGTAATTTAATGTATTTATTCATGGCCAATGGACCTTTTTTTCTTTTTGAGAGGTTTTTGCTATAGGGCGCATGCACTCCCCGGAAAGACAGAGAGATACAAAGAGACAGAAAGCAAGAAATCACCCCCTAGGGGGGATGGCCACACTGCAATCCCTTCTCCTCCATCCTCTCAGGATCTTGGCACACACGCACACACACCTGGCGTGAGTTTAAGCCACTGGGTCTAGGAGGCCCTACTTTAGCACTGAACAAAATAAAGGCACTGACTAGAAATCTGCTGAATGAACAAAGTTTTTTTCTTTTTCTTTTTTAGGTTTTTGCCATAGGGCACATGCACTCACCAAAGAGAGGGAAAGTGAGAAATCACCCCCAGGGCATGGCCACATGCAGTTCCTTCTCCTCTAGTCTCCTCCCAGGATTTGGGGCTTGGACGCACATGTGCCAGGTATGATTTCCAAGCCACGGGCCTGGCACTCAAACTGCAGTTATAAGCATCATGCCAGTCGCTGGCCCCTGGATGAACAAAGTTTATGCCTAGTTCTTATTCTTCTACATTTAGTTCACAGTGAAACAAACAATATCTTAAGAAAGAAGAAAAATAGATACTGTTATGGTTTGGACAATGGTTCATTCCCCAAAGTTTCATGTTTTGTAATTTGATGTTGGGAGGTGATGAGGCCTAGTGGGTAGAGATTGGCTTACAGTGAGTGCATCACACAGGCAATACTCATGAATAGATTAATGATATCTCAAGAGACCCAGAGTGTCCTAACTCTTGGGAGAAGTTAGTTTTCATGTGAGCAGATTGTTATGAAAAGCTCCAGCAGCTTGCTTTCTCTGCACGTGCCCACCATCCTATCTGCTTTTGATGGCCATGTTGTAAGCCAACCTGATGTCAGCCTTACACCTTTGGACTTCCTAGCTGTGAGACTTGTGAGCTGATAAACTTCTAGTTTCCTATAAATCACCAGTCACATATATTTCTTTTTCTTTTTTTCCTTTTTTTTGGAGAGATTTTCACTATAGGGCATGTGTGCTCACCATAAAGAGAGAGACAGAGAGACAGAAAGCGAGAAATTATCCCCCAGGGGGGATGGCCATGACGCAATTCCTTCTCCTCCCTTCTCCTCTTGGGATCTTGGGCACGCACGCACATGCGCCCTGCATGAGTTTAAGTCACGGGGTCCGGGACTCAAATTGCAGTCAACTACATGGGAGTCCAGCGACATAGCCATTATGCCAACTGCTGGTCCCAGTCACATATATTTCTATTAGAGACACAATAACAGACTAAGACAGGTACTATAAAATCCAATTGAAATATTTCTCAAGCACATTTTAAATATCATAAGTACCCATGGTACTTAGAGTAAAAACTATTGAGTTTTTCCTCAAAGGATAATTTTATTTCAATCATAGTTTCTACCTGGAAGGTACTTTCACCATTTTCAGGGCTAGGTTTTAACATGTGAATACAGTAACTCAGTAACTAAGACTGTACTTCTTGTGGTGATGAATATACATAGGTTGCCTGGAGGTCTAAGTATGAATGAAATAACTTGGCATACACTGGATGCTTCAGGGCAAATTTCTTAAAGCGCGTATATGAAATGTAAGTTGAGTTCTGTCCAGCTATTTCCTGAAAGAGTCTGGAAATATCAAGATCTGGCACCCCGAAGGCTGCCCGCATTATAGCCGTAAATTCCTGTTCTGTTACGAAACCATCCTCATCGAGATCAAAGAGCTTAAATGACACTTGCAGGAGCTTTTCGGTGTTAGTGGGATTGCACAGGACGGTCAGCCCTATGACATACTCTCTGAAGTCAATGCTGCCATCCTTATTCCTGTCAAAGAGGGTGAACAGTTGTCTCAAGGGCTCTGAAACTGGGAGTTTTAAATAACTCGAAAACTCTTCGATTCCTATCTCTCCTCCTTTGGAAGCAACTGCAATTGCAGCATACTCATCCAGATGCTTATGGATGTTATCCCAATCTAATTTCAATTTTTGGCTAATTTTTGTAAATTCCACCAAACCAGCTTCCATCGGTAGTTGAAGGTTCCCGGCAGAAATCATCAGCCTGCAGTCTTCGAAGGTGTGGTCTGTCACAGGCACCCCCAGAGCATTTGCCATGTGAATTCTTACTGTATTGGCAAAAAGCAGGGGGTCTTGTTTTTCTTCGTCACTTGGTATGTAAACAGGCATAAACTCAACTTCCACCCTGGTGAAGGGTTGACTCAGGGTCAGTATACAAGCCTGGAAGCCTGTAAACCCCTGCCAGGTCCAAGTCACCGTGTCCAGGGTGTTTGGGTACCTGAGTAGCACAGGCTGCACAGGGACACCTGGAGAGAAGGCCCCTAGTTTAAACGTGACTAGACAGGAGCGGTTTGTGCACACTCCTTCTGGGAAGATCAGTATCTGTGGCCACTTCCTGTTGGATGTCACTCGCTTCAGGATTTCCTCCCGGGTGTGCCTCCTGGAATTGAGGTCTTCTCGGGTCACAAACACAGGCTGCATGGACAGTAGGATTTTCCCAACCATTGGGATCTTTGCATTTTGACTTGCAGAGACCACGGAAGGTAACCCCGCCACCACACAGGCGATGGCATCAAAGAAGGTGGAGTGTGGTGCTGTCACCAAGATGGGGGCTTCCTTTTGGGTCGCCTTTTTCCCTTTCACTCTCACTAGGAACCCAGCAGAAAAGAATGTTGCCCAAAGTAAGAATCTGAGGGCCGGTTTCGTCAGTTTCATTCTCCAACTCCAGTCAGGCATGGCGGGTTGAGCATGTGCACGGCCAATGGTGGACAGCGCGGCCACCGGCCAGAGGAAGATAAAGAGGAAGGCCATGCAGGACACCCGCATCGGTACCAGCACGGTGCCCAGGAGGATGATGCAGGCCCAGCGCCATGTGCTGATGTGTGTCTGCTGCAAGAAGGGGTTGGCCACTGCTGGAGGGTACAAGGACTTGAGCGTCTCGTGGGTGATCCTGGACTCCCACCCCTTCAGCTCAGAGTCGGCAGAGCTTCTAGCCATGATGCCAGCTTCTTGGCAGATTCAGGATGTGGGTATCCTGACTTGAGGGCAGCCTCTACACACGCCCCTTCCCCACAGTCAAGTGCCAGTCCTGTTTGTACATAATGAGCGCTCTTAGAGGCAATTGTGGGGTCACAGGAAATGATGCACTACCTTTAAAATTGGAAACATGAAACGTGTTAAATGTAACAGGAGATTTAGACTCACATCAACAGAACAATCTTTTTGTTTTATAGACATGTTGCTTTCGACATACATGTATGCTTACTAAATTATTTCCGCATAACAATTTCTGATATTTATCTTATCCTTAGAATATGCACCTACTAGGGATATATTAATGTGAGTAGATGAATAGTAATAACTTTTAAAAGTGCCATTACCAGTAAGCTTACTTACTCTGAACTTCATCAACAGTTGTTAAGTCAAATTTGTTTACACTCCCTAGTAAGTGATTTCTATAATATTATCACTTTATCCTGAGAGTTTTAATAATGAAATCCTTGGTTCTTTACAACTGTTGCAAGCACTTTTCCATTGTAAGAGTACATTCATTTTACTAGCCCAGAACTGACCAGGGCGTGTTTACTCATAATTTTAACATTAGTCCAGACGGACCAGTCATCATTCCAAAGTGACAGAAGTAACAACAAACTTTGATTCACATTTGTCAGTACCATGCTCTCGTTAAGTGAGAGTTATTTATCATGTCGACATACGCAGCCAACAAGCCTCATCCCTTCCTTTGTTGCTGCCCTTTGGAAGTGATGAACAGGTTAGCATAAAGGGGGCATGAACCTGGCTTTCTTCTGTACCTTGGAACACTTGCAACTCTGACAGTGCTTTATAGACCATCCCTGTATTTGCTCACTGCTAATTTGAGTTCCTTTTCCCAGAATTTAAAGTCCAATTGGAGGTTTTGAGAGGTGTTTCCATCTACTGAAGCACACCAGATTACTGCTAAAACAGGAAGAGTGACGTGGATGCTAAGCCTGTTAGACAGAAGGTGATGTGAGTAGATCACAGGCTTTCTAACCCAGAGGGATCTAGGTGAGATCCTGGCTTCATCTACATCACGCGCACTGGCAACGTTACTCGTTAGACCTCATTTTCACATGTACAAGTTGGCGATACTTCCTACCTTGCAATGCTGTTATGAGACACAGTATAATGGGTATAGAGAACCGGGGGGGTTATTGTAAACACAAGTTGCTATGATACAGTAATGAGAATTCTTAGGGACATTCCACTTTTTTTCTGTCAGTATCAGAACTATGCTGAGGGAAATGGTCCTTTCATCAACTTGGGGCTATTTGGGGACACAGCATAGTCTCTAAGATGCTGTAATTTGGCAATTCACCGGTTGTCGCACCTTCCAAAGTAGAACCCAAGAGAATGAGTGGTCGTCTCTTGGGCTGGTATTATTCTTTATTCTGTGACCTTCTCCTTTCTTACATCTCATGTTCATTTCTACCTTGAGTTCATGTTTAATTCAACTGCATTCTGTGTATGCTTCTTAAAGGAAAGTTCCATCTTTCTTTCATATTTCTCCCACAGCACCTGGCAGTGCTTCACATATATTATTTACTTATTTATATTATTATATTTAAGCAAATATATGAGCATCTACCTTGTGCCAGGCTCTTAGTCTAGATTCTCTGTATATATCAGTCAACAAAACAATTGCAAATTCCTGCCCTGTAGAAGTTAGAATCTAGTGCAACAGAAAGTACAATAATTAATCCTGTTGCATTAAATAAGGCAGAAGGACATTTTGACTCTTTTTCTAAATCTCTCACAATTAACCTGAAAAACTAAGCTAAGTAATTTAGTATATACTTCCCTACTTTGCAGGGTTTAATAAACATAGATATGCATAAATATAGTATGCATATGACACAACCTCTTGATTGATGTGAAAAGATGTTAGTTTTTAATTTTTCTTTTAAAAAATTTATTTTGGAGAGGTTTTTGCTATAGGGCACGTGTGCTCACCAGAAATACAGAGAGAGACAGAGAGACAGAAAGTGAGAAATCACCCCCCCGCCTCCCCGCCAGGGAGGATGGCCATGCCGCAATCCCTTCTTCTCCATTCTCCTCTCAGGATCTTGGGCACACATGCACACAGGCCCGGTGTGAGTTTAAGTCACCGGGTCCGGGACTCAAACCGCAGTCAACTACATGGGAGTCCAGCAACATAGCCATTATGCCAACTGCTGGTCCCAAGATGTCTGTTTTTAAAGTTTAATCTTCCCAGTAAAATATTGGGTTGTCAGAAAGTTATGACACATTTTTGCATGGAAAAACATAGAAAAATATGTCATGACTTTAACGACAACCCAATACTATTTAAATAGTATTTATGGCCCATTTTAAGAATGCATATTCAGGGGTTGGCAGGTGGCATGGTGGTTAAGGGCATTGGACTCTCACATGACCGACCACTGTTTGAGTCCCGGACCTGGCGGCTTGCTTACTCACTTTCTTTCTCTCTCTTCCTCTCATTCTGTCCTCTCTGGTCAAATTAAAATAAATAAATAAGAAATAAAGCTAAATAATTCTTTAAAAAATGCATATACATCCAGTTGTGTTTGCCTTTAAACTAATAGATATACTATAAATCCAAAAGATTTGATAATAGAATTTTTAATGCGTAAAAAATAGTAAAAAAAAAACCTTTTAAACAACAAAATGAAAAGTTATACCATTGCAAGTTTGCCTTTTAATATTGCACAGCTAAATTTTAATATACATTTGTAAAAGGCACCATATGTTAGCAGGGTAAAGAAAGCAATAAACCAAAACTGAGACGCTTTCTCTAACTTCAGTTTTTGTACAAATGCATACATTTTAAGGCAGATACTTTCTGTGCAAAATATAATGGGAGAAAAATCAACATTATATTACATATTCACACATCTCAAATATTTTTAACACCATTTGTCAGGATATTTATTTATGATAAAACATCTTACAACAGCTTTTCTCCCAATAAAACATAAATAAGTTGATGAACAATTACAAAATTATTTACAGATTTCATTACAGATCCCTCATAGAATATTTTTAAAAATCAATCTTTTTTTCTTGCTTCTTCTTTTAGAAATGTCCATATTAGCTTGTTCACTATGTCAGGTTGGTCTTGCTGAAGCCAGTGACTGGCTTCTGACAAAACAGTTAGCCTGAAATAGTTTTTAACATAAATCTTTGTGACTTCAGCCATTTCAGCCTCCATAAATGCATCTTTCTCTCCCCACAGCAGTAGTGTTGGAGTGGTCACCATGTGATGTTTGAGAGGCAGGCAGCTATAAAAACAAAACGTGTGGGCTTGAGATTCACTGTAAAGGTTAAAATAACATTTTTCCATAAAACCATGCATTTTCAAAGGGGGCAGGCAATATCTCCTCTAACAGGGCAACGATTGCTTCTTGAGAGAATAAATAATTCTACTCTTTTTATATATAAACCAGAAATATGCATACAATAAATAAACACTAAAATTTCGTGAGGGGGACCAGCAGTTAGCCTAATAGCTATGTCGCTGGACTCCCATGTAGTCGGCCACGGTTCAAGTCCCAGACCCGGTGGCTTAAACTCACGCCGGGCACATGTGCATGCGTGCCCAAGATCCCGAGAGGAGAATGGAGGAGAAGGGATTGCGGCATGGCCATCCCCCCTGGGGGGTGATTTCTTGCTTTCTGCTCTCTGTCTGTCTGTCTGTCTGGTGAACACACGCGCCCTATAGCAAAAACCTCTCCCAAAAAATTTTGTGAGGTAGGGTGATGAGGAAATAAATGTCTAAAAGGCTCTTTAGGAATGTAATAGAAAAGTGGTTGAAAAACACTGTACTAGATAATCAACTTGTATAATAAAAACTTTAAAGGCTATTTTTAAAAGGGTCCAATAAAATGGTAAATTGAATGAGGCTAGCAAAATTTATAATTAAGGCTATAATTTTAATAATGAAATTCATCACTATGAGAGATAATTTGCTTTAAAGGGATATCAGAATTTTTCCCTTCCTTTGCCTTTTTTTAATTGTCGTTTTTTTTTTTTTTTTTTTTTTTTCCCAAGGTGGTAGTACTAAATGTAAATACAATGAAAAGAACCCTCTTAGCCAATTTGGCTATGCTTTTTAGGGGGCTTGGGGAACACTATGGTTATATATTGGGATTTTGGGCATGCATGCACGCATGCCTGGAGTGATTTTCAAACCACTAGATCCTGGATTCGAACTGCAATCAGCCTGTGGGAGTCCACTATGCCACCTGCTGGCTCCCAGAATTTCTGATAAATGCAATAAAACAGTTTTACTGTTTAAATGCATTTAGAATTATTGTTAGATAATCTAATGCATTTAATTTGAAAAACTAGAGCTGAAAAATCAGAATATATATTTAAATTGAGCTTTAATATATGTAATACTATATTTTTTAATAAGATAAAAAAATTCCAGGGGGTATGTGTGCTTGCCAGAGAGACAGGTACAGAGACAGAGAGACAGAGAACCCCCAATGTAGTGTGGTCACACTACAATCTCTTCCACTCCATTACTCCATTGTGTCAGCATTTGGGCACATGTGCACATGCGCCCAATATATTTACCCACTCTTCCTCTCTGCTATTTTCAGACTAGTTTAAGCTACTGTTGTTTTAGTCTGGACTGCTGCACCTGCCTACATTCAGTCTGAATCTCCTCTAATACACTGTCTTTACTATGGTCCGAGTGAACTATTCTAAATTGGACCATTTCTCTTGTCTGCTTGAAACTTCATTCACTGACTTCACATTCATGGCGGTTACATCTTTAGTATGGTCTACTCGGCTCTGCACGGCCAGCTGCTGCCCACCTCTTAGGCCTACCTTCACCCCATGCTCTTCTAGTCCTGACTTTCTGTGTTCCCGTCACATTGGTCCTCATTCTGTTCCTTACGGCCGCAGCCCTCCATCTCCCCACACAGATTTGCTACATGCTGTTTTCTTTCCTGGAATGCCAGTCTTCCTACCCTCAATCTTGTCTAGTCAATTGCTAATTCAACCTTCACTTCTATGTTCAAATATCCTTTTCTTAGCTCTCATCTCTTTCTTTCAAAGTCTTTCTGGTAGTTTATAACTGTGCACAGTTATTTGCTTAATGTCTGTTTCCTTCACTGGGCTACAGTTTGGTAACATCAAGAATCTTGTCTAGTTTTGCTCATTGCTGTGTTTTGCATATTAACACAGCCTAGAACATTAGTACTTCATAAACATTTCTTGAATTAATAAATGATCATTAAAATATGAATAAAAATATACATCTATATAAAATAATCCAAAGGGAGACAATAAGTAGATAGAGTTATAGATAAAACCAGACAGCTACACGGGGAATCTATTTATATTATTCTCTCTACTTTTCCATATGTTTGAAATTTTCCATAAAAAGGATTATGCAACTTACTAAAAAAAAATAAGGATACTTTATTTGAGTCTTTGGATAAGTGTGAACTTAATCTTAAAAATAAAATATTGGGCTGGCTCCTTGGCATAGTGGTAATAAGCACTCAAGAGACGCCAGATCCCACATGGCAACTGCGGTTTGAATCCTTGGCCTGAAATACACTTTGTGCACATGTGAACGCCCAAGATCTGACAGGCTGGAGGACAGGAGGTCCCAGTGTGACCAAACCCTGTGAAGGGTGCTCATCTCTCTCTCTCTCTCCCTTTCTCTCTCTCTCTTACTTTCACATGCACATACATGATCTGTCATGAATAAAAATGATATACAATTATATATATATATATATATATATTATATATAGTCTCTTTAGGATCAGACTGAAGTACTTCATTTAACTGAAAAGCAAGTATACTGACCTAAAGATATTTCGGAAATGGTTAATGGGACCACTTAATGCTCCAGGCTGAGAAAAGACATAAATATAAGCTTCAAGATCTTCTGCTGTTAATCGACATCCTTTTCTTCCAATGCCAGTGCTGGGACTGGTAAACAGATGTTTCAAAGCCTGATTTAAGTGAAAAGAAGATAATTAAAACTTCTTGGTTATCTAGTAATCAGCTTAGTCTTTGGTTTCTGAAAAGGGATAGTGATCATTGTGCAGTGATCTCTCTTAATTTCCACCCAAGTAAGGTTGGAAACCTCATTTAAAAATATATATATATTTCTTTTTCTTTTCTTTTTTTGAGAGATTTTTGCTATAGGGTGCATACGCTTGCCAGAAAGACAGTGAGACAGAAAGCGAGAAATCACTCTCTGGGGGGATGGCCATGCCACAATCCCTTCTTCTCCAATTTCCTCTTAGGATTTTGGGCATGCACACACACACACACACACACACAGAGTGTGAGGTTTTTAAGTCACCAGTTTTGGGATTCGAACCTAGTTGACAATGTGGGAATCCAGCAACATAACTATTATGCTATCTGTTAGTCCCAGAAACCTCATTCTTCATTAATTCATTTTATGCATTCTTGTCAAATTAAAATTCAACCTAATCAAGCCTCTCAATCAGCATTTCTGCTTTCTTGACTTTACTTTTGATATTTGTCCCTTTTAATCCAATATGTATACTTCCTGTTATGAAAAGCATTCTGTTAGAGCCAAAAGGTGGTGTGGTGATTAAGGCGCTGGACTCCCTCATGACTGACCGTGGTTTGAGTCCCAGACCTGGTGGCTTACTTTCTCACTTTCCCTCTCTCTCTGTCTCCCTGGTGAACACATGTGCCCTATCACAAAAATTTAAAAAATAATAATAATAAATAAATAAAATTAAACATTCTTTAAAAAAAATGTATCCTGTCTTCTTGGTGCCTACACACATTCTACAAAGCCCAGATGAAGTGCCATCTGTATCCTAAAATTTTCCCTATCATTTCAATTATTATTTACTGACAACCAAGCTCTTTCTCCCAGAGATACTGAAATTTTTGACTAGAATCCTGAATAAGTTTCACATGAAGTTCACATGACTTTTATATATTTGTATATGAAATATATAAAATACATATGAAGCAAAAGTTTGAAGAAACAGCCCTAATCTTATTATAATGTTTACTGGTGTTTTCTATTCAATTCTGTTCCACTTAAGTTTTTAAAATTCAAAAATCAAGCCATTAAACTGATTTCATGACTTATTAATGGGCCCCAATCCATGATTTGAAAAACACTGCTTTATATGAGCATTTTTCAAAGATTTAAACCACCTGCATCTAAGTCACTGGGATGCCTGTTTAAAATTTAGATCCCTCAACCCAGAAACACACTTGCAAGAATATAAAATGACATAAGCATGAGGAGATTAATTGCAACATTATTTGTAGCAGAAAAAGACTGGAAGCAATCAAATGTCCATCAGTGAGGGCTGGTTGAATTACCTATAGTACAGTCACACAGTGATGCACTATGTATTCCTTTTAAAATTTTTTTTTTAAGTTTGCTATAGGACACATGAGTTTACCAGAGAAAGATGTGTAAGAGTATGCAGGTGAGAAATCACCTCCCGGGGGAATGACCATGCCACAATCCCTTCTCCTCTCTTCTCTCGGGATTTTGGGCATGCACACACACACGTGACTGGAGTATATTTATTTCAAGCTGCTGAGTCTGGGACTTGAACTGTGTAGTCGGCCACGTGGGATCCAGCCACCTTCACCACCAGGCCACTGACTGGGCCACACTATGTATTCTTAGTACTCAAAAAAAAAAAAAAAGAATAAGACAATCTTTGTATGCTGATATGAAGTAATCTCCAGGATTAATTGCTAAGTGAAAAGAATATAGTGTTTATAGTACATTACCTTTTGTGCATGAAGAAGGAGGTAAATATATACATATTGGCTTGTGTTTTTAAAAAGAAGCAATAGAAAGATAAACCAAAATTAATCAAGTGGTGTGGTTTCCTATGGGAGAAGGAAGAAACAGGTGGAGGGACAGAGAGGCAAGCAAGACTGCATGAATCCTGTTTTAGAGCTTTGACTTGGAAAGAAATGTTTTAAATAAAATCATAGAAGTTAAAGAAAAAACCTTGTAGTCTTATTTTGCTTAGGAAATTAAAAAACTATGATTTTTTTTCCTAAAAAGTATGTCTGTCCAAATTTTATCCCATATAAAAATCTAGAAGCAATGAAAACCCAACAACGATTACCTTGACAATCAGACTATGGTTTCTGAATACCATTTCATACTAAAAACAAGCTAGAGTTCCTTGGATAAATGGTTGACTCCAGATCTGGGGCAGAAAATAAAAAGTAAGCCTAGGACCTTAAGGAAGCAAACTATCACTGAGGAAGTGGTATAATAAACAGGCACAGACAGAGGCCAGACTAGAGGGGCTGCCATTTGCCTAATCTGAAACAACTTGGGAATCAAAAAGAATAATGACTCTGATGGATTAGTATATATCAAATACATACTCATTATTGTGAAAGTGGTTTAGTAAGTGGAAAGAATGACACATTTATCCTGTCATTATTATACGAATTATATTTCAGAATAACTAAATAGTAGATGTAGAAGATTTTTTCTTTATAGAAGAATTCCAGTTAATAAAAGCAGAAACATATTTTTTAAAACATGAAAAAATGAATTATGAAATCTGCATTTTGTACAATCTCACAAAGTCATAGACTTGGGCTAGATCATCAATGTCCACAAAAATTGTTTGGTAAAAGATTGCTGGGAAATTTTGTATATACTGACAACTCAGGAGCCCATGATAATGTCAGCATTGGTACAACTGGAATAGGTAGACATGTTTTACCCTGATGCAATGCATTAGGAAACAACAGCACTGCCTACTAAGTATTCTCGTTAAGTTAAAATTCAATCTATTCAAGCCTCTCAATCAGAGGCACCTACAAAGTTGGAAAAAGAAGGTTAGAAGAACAAATTAAGTACTGCCACAATGAAGTAACCAGCCTTATGCAAAATGTGCATTTTTTTTTCTCAGAACAGATGATCAAATTTCTTCAGTAAATAAGTGGTTTTTATTTTTAAAGAGAATTTTGCTATAAGGCACACGCACTCACTGGAGAAACAGACAGAAAACGAGGAATCACCCTTCAGGGGGGATGTCCACGCAGCAATCCCTTCTCCTCCATTCTCTTCTTGGGATTTTGGGCATGCGCACACATGTGCCCGACTTGAGTTTTAAGTTGCTGGGTCCAGGACTCGAACTGTGGTCAACTACGTGGGAGTCCAGCCATGTAACCATTATCTGCTGGTCCCAGTAAGTTGTGTTTTAAAAAAAGAAAAGAAAGAATTTTTATATATACTAAAAGTCATAATGACCAAATAAAATCTGTGGACCAGGACCAACAAATGGTATAATGGTTATGTCACTGGATTCCCGCAGGGCCCACCACAGTTCAAATCCCATACCCGGAGGCTTGAAACATGTCAGGCAAATGTGCACGCATGCCCAAAATCCCGAGAGGAGAAGGGAGGAGAAGGGATTACGGTGTGGCCATTTCCCTGGGGGGCAATTTTTTGCTTTCTATCTCTCTCTGTGTCTCCAGCAAGCACACATGCCCTATAGCAAAAACATAGCTCTTAAAAAAAAAAAAAATACATGGACCTGGTTTGATTCCTGATTTGAACAAATAGAGAGAGCTGAGAAAGTTAAGAAAATTTGAAAGTATGAAATTATATAAAAGAGTTGTCATTCATTTTGTTAGGTTTGATAGTGGCATGGGGATGATGTAAAAAAAAAAGTTCTCGTCTGTTACAAATATATACAAAATTATATGCACGTAGAATTTTTTTTTAACAAGAGAGAGGGAAAAGGAGAGAAATAGTCATTTTTGACAGGGTCTTGCTCTGTTGCAATCCTCCTGCCCCAGCCTCCTAATTAACTAGAATTACTAACACATGCAACCATGCCTAACCTGTTCAGTTGGCTGGGAACTGAACCTGGGCCTCTCCTGAGGCTCCCATTCTCCTATGTGGTGGTATTACCCACATGCTGTCATGGCTGGGCTTATGTCTTTTTTCAAGCTCCCCCAATACCTAACGCCACATTGAACCAATGTTATACAAAGCATTCAAAAATTTCCATGATATTTGCATCTAATTCCTGATGTCAATGTACATGGATACTAATACCTACATGTTTGCTTTGTTTAGGAATTTTATTTACTCCAAAGGGCTTCTATTTCTGCTACTGTCAAACTCTCTTATTTTACATTCATACTCCTTTATGTTTCCATCAGATGTTCTCTAAAAAGAGGTCTGCTTTTAGTGGCACTGGCTTTTACAAAAAAATCCAATAATAGCTAGGCATTCAGATATATGAACAAAGACTGCAAAAATAAGTACGCCTATAAGCAAGTCCTTAAAACCTTTTAAGTTTTAACATTTTTCTTCCAATTTTCTTCCTTAAAGGTGGGCTTTAATTAACAATATTTTTGGGCTGGCTGTGTAGTACAGTGGTTAAGCTCTGTCCATAGGGATCCAGATCCCACATGGCCAAACATGATCCTGGCCCTGGAGAATTGAAAAACATGCCAGCAGAGCAGAAGGAAGAGTGGTTGTTAAAGGCATGTGGATTCCCACATGGCTGACTGCGGTTCAAGTCCTGGACCTGGCAGCTTGCTTCGCATGT